TCTCTCAGAAAATTGTTGCAACATACTTAATGATTTTGTTCAAACAAGGGACTTTATGGCCACGTGCCAAAAACTGTTGTAATAAATACACATATCTATCATGTCTAAGTATGAATGGCGTCCCTCAGACACGGAGCCCTTGAGCAGTGTGCACAGTGTATCTGGGCACCTGTACACAGCAGCTGTGCACACTCCTATGTGCATCCCTACTGCACCTCCTCAGCACCCACTTCTGCCTGTGCTGAGATACCCCCCATACACCTGCCTCCGTTGCCCCGTACTTTTTCCATCCCTCACTGTAAACCTGGCTTCAGATCTCCAGTTGGCCACTTTTGAGTAGATGATCTTGGAAAAGTCACTATGAATTGTAGAACCTTAGTTTCCTCGTTTGTACAATGGAGCCAGTGATTACCTCCCTGAGAGGCTTGCTGGGAAAATAAATAAACTATGAAACATCATATCTGGCACATGCTAGAGCCTCAGTGTGTGGCAGTCGAAGTACCTGGTGTTATTGTCAACACTCCCCAGAGACCAAGGAAGTGGGAAGACTTCCATCTTCCCAGAGTAACCATGGTCTTTCGAGTTGGAGAACAGTTACTACATTCATTTCGTTTCCTCTTAATATTTTCCTCCACTCCCATGCCCTTGTCCCACTGTCACCCTCTCCCCGCCCTCCTCATCACCTCTCGGGTGCCCTCCTCTCTCCTCCCTGCCTCTCCTCCCTCGCCTACTCCTCACAGGGTCCTCAAGCACTCGGTGGATGCCACCTTCGAGAACCAGGGCCCCAGTCCTGGGTACCGCATGGAGATGTCCATCTTCTATGTCGTCTACTTTGTGGTGTTCCCCTTCTTCTTTGTCAACATCTTTGTGGCCTTGATCATCATCACCTTCCAGGAGCAGGGGGACAAGATGATGGAGGAATACAGCCTGGAGAAAAATGAGGTGCCACTTCCCAATTGCATCCCCCATTAAGAGCTGACAAGGAGCTCTGGTGGCACAATGGTTAAGCACTTGGCTGCTAACCGAAAGGTCTGAGGTTCGAATCCACCAGCCGTTCTGCAGGAGAAAGATGTGGCAGTCCGCTTCCATAAAGATTACAGCCTTGGAAACCCTATAGGGCAGTTCTACTCTGTCCTGTAAGGTCACTATGAGTCAGAATCAACTCAACAGCAGCAGATTTGGTTTTAAGAGCTGACCTACCACACACACACCCAGGAAGTAGCTTTGGGAGCCTCTGGGGAGGGAACAGCAGCATCCTCCGAGCAAATGCCAGTCTGCAGGGCAGCCCTCCCTCCTGTGGTTTCCAGAGGGAACACACACTGCATGGAATGTGTACGCATCAGTCAGTTCAGACCAGGTTGTGCTACAGTAACAAGCAGCCCCAGCACCTCAGTTACAGACATCACAGAGGCATTTATTTCTTGTTCTCGGTGCCTGTCTACTGCAAGTTGGCCATGGCTCTGCCCCATGTCATCTCTCCTGGTCTTCAGGCCGGCAGAGCAGCCTGAGACATTGCACATCAAAGAGAGTATGGCCAACTATGTTGGCTCTTGAGGCTTATGCCCAGAAGTGACCCAGGTCACTTCTACTCACACAGTTCATTGGCCAGAGCCAGTCACGTGTTCATGTGTGATGTCAGTGGGATGGGGATGTATAACGTCACCCAGGGAGGGCTGGTAAATATTTATGAATGAAAATACAGCCCCCCAGAGAA